GGTTTCTTAATACCTACACTGCCAACTAGCCCTGTTTCATTACACAAAACAAGGTCTAGGATGGCCTGTCCCCTAGTTGGTTCCTCGGCATGCTGCTCTAGAAAGTTGTCTCTCATACACTCAATGAACTCTTCTTCTGACCTACTTTTGCCAATTTGGCTTTCCCAATCTATGTGGAGATTGAAATCACCCACTATTATCGCTTTACCTTTCCTCCATGCTCCACTGATTTCTTGATTGATACCCTGTGCTATATTGTGATCGCTGTTTGGAGGTCTATTTTCTGCCCTTTATTATTTTTTATTTCCACCCATATTGTCTCGACCTCCTGGTCATCGGATTTCAGATCCTTCCTCTCTAATTTAATGCAGAATTCAATCATATTCAAAGTCATCAGGGCTTGAAACCTGACTCAGCTGAGACTTCAATGCAGTGCTGGGACGTATTGCATTATTAGTCCTGCCGTCCTTCGGATGAGATGTTAAACCGAGGCCCCATCTGCTTGTTCAAATAGATTTTAAAGATCCAATGCTACTATTTGAAAAGAGAAGGGAGTTTCTCCTGTTGTCTTGGAAAGCACTGTCTGGCAAGCTTCTTGCTGCTTCTCTAGCTAGGACAGCCCTATTCAGCAGGAGTCCCTGCCAACAGCAACTGTTCTGCCCTTCCCAGTCCTGCCAGTGAGCCAGGCTGGCTAGGCTGGCATCAGCAGTCCCCTGGAATACTGCAGACCCGCCTGGCTCAGAAACCGGACTAACAAGACCGTCAGAGAGGGTTGGCTTGATTCTGACATTCCGTTGCCAAACATATCACCTTAGAGCCAGTTCAGCTCCAAGGAAACCCCACTTGCCTCTCCTACAAGGAGGATAGTCACGAGTTGGTCATTTGACATCTGATAAGCACAGGTTGGAGTCTCACTGGATGGAAGCAGGTGACTGGAGCATGGTTCGAAGCTAAGGGCTGTATTGTTTACAGTGTATGTAAATGATTTGGGGCACAGAATCACAGTTATCACATTTACTAATTTGTGAAAGTGTGTGGGGAATTTGCAGATAACTAGGACCAAACTGACTTAATAGAGAGAATTGGATAAATGTAAAGCGGTGGCTTTGGGCTGGGGAAAATACAGATTGGGAAAATAAACTGAAGAGCAAATATTTACATGACATGAACCAGGGGAAGAATGTGGATATACTGGTGATAGCCATTTGAAATCCCCAACATAATGTACAACAGCACGTTTTTTTTAAAAAAGCAGAGGTTCTTGTGTAATTGTAAACTATTACAAAACATTGGTCCAGTCTCAGATTTTGTGCGAAGTTCAATACAGATTTGGAGAAAGTACAGACAGGTGGCCAGACTGATGAATGGGTTGAAGCACCTAAGCTTTGAGGAGAGATGGCAAAATCCATGACCGTTTACACTGTCTACACTGCAAAAAAAGATTAATGGTGATGCTACTGAAACTTTGTTTCAGATCCTGAAGAGTAGACAAGCTGGACTTAATACATTCAATATAGTCCAAAAGTTCACAGAATTGAGGTTTGAAACTCAAAAGATAGAAAACAATGGCATTTAAAAAATGGGATCAGTTAGATAGACTATGATGGCTTTTCCTGATCTTGTACATTCCTACATATTTGCGCAAATTGATTTTAGCTGAGCGTCACAAACACAGCTGATCAAAAACAAATGTTTGTATTGAAACTAATTCAGTATTTCAATGGTTAAAATGCTATTGTGTGGTATTGAAATCACAAATCATTGTGCCTACCACCAGCTGACATTTCACTGTTAATCCGATTGAACAAATGATTCTTTGACTACACATCTCTAAATATTAGTCATTACAAAATAATTTGAAACAAATTCACTGCAGGCAAGACCTGATACGCACTTGAACTATATTTAATTATGAGCTGCAATATGAATCTAAGCGGAATCTGCCATTAGGAAATAATGAGAGGAGATTGCGGGTGTTAATATGTCTTACAAGTAGAAGTAGAATTGGAAATTTACTAATTAGCAAGGATTTATATTATAATTTCAGTTTAGTTAATTTAATTTCCATAAATAATGGCCATGTAAATCACATAGTTGATTAAAATGGTTACAGGGTAAAATCTTAAACATGTATCTGTCTAAATACAGTGAACTAATACCTAGGATTAGACACAGGCTCCAGGAACTGGGAATGTTTAAAATGGAGAAATGAATGCACAAGAGTGGTCTTATTGAAACTTTCAAGATTCTAAAATGTCCATTTAAAGTCAACAAAAATAATCTGTTTCATGTAACCATAGACGCCACAACAGTGGTCATGGATTTAAACTAAGGAGGCGAAAGATACGAGACAGCTTAGATTTAACTATTTAACCCAGGTGGCAGTGAAGATATTGAACAGACTGGTCAGGAGAAGCAGTGGAAGTGGAAAGTGTTTGCAAAATCAAGAGAGATTGTTCATGCAGGCAATAATTAGTCTGCGTCTTGTGTTTGAGTTCTGTGTTATTAAGTGGAATCACTTCAATCAAATGCAGAGGAATTCAAGTTTTTGAATGAGTACCAATTAGTTAGCCAGATCCAATCAGCAAAAAAGCAATTAGACAGTATCAACTTGAACTATCTATATAATCAGGTCAGTTGAGGCAAATAGCTCTCCGTTACCTCTGAAAAATGATAAGCCTCAAGAGTATTCTCTTCTGTTAGGCTTCAAGAGTATTCTCTTCTGTTAACAGTTACTGGAGGCTTCTAATAAATTAAACAAAGCAAATAGTAGCAGTCATTCAACTGAGTGATTACAAGAACTGTGGTTTATCTCAAATTTGTTGTCACCTCTGTTGTTCTTTATATTAACCAGTATATTGTTCATAGTGTGTTTTTTTAAAAATCGGTTAGTTTTTCCACTTTTCCTACTATTTTGCAGCTGCTACACTGAACACCCCAAAGCTGGCCTTTGCTATTTGAAAGGGTAAAAGAGCTGATAGTGATATTGGGGCTGAACTGTATGTGATCAATAGTATAGTGATGAGTAATTTTCCTCAATAAGCTATGAAATGCAAAATATGAAGTAGATAATATAATAAGGTAATTATAATTATAAACAAAACATTCTTTCATTTTGACTTTGTGGGGGGTTTGCTTGGATTTGTTCTTAATGCATGAAGTCATGAAGTCTATGATAGCTCTTTAATATCGTTTCCTTGCCTTATTCCCACTTATATATTTTTCTTTCTCTCTCTATCTCTATTCATGCCTCAATTGATTGCAAATCGGTTGTCTGCCTGGGTCAGTTGGTAGCACTCTCTGGGTCAGATGTTTTGGGGTTCAAGCCCCACATCAATACTTTGAGCTCCTGGTGCTCATTGCGGTGCTGGGTGAGTGCTGCATTGTTGGAGGTGCCATCGTTCAGATGAGATTTTAAACCAAGATCTAGCCTGCCTGTTAAGATGGATGCTAGGGTGGGTATCCATGAAAAGATTTGAAAAGAGAAGGGAGTTTCTCGTGGTGTCATTGTCCACAATCCCCAAGGTAAAAATTGATTGTTCACTTCATGGCTGGTTGTGGAACGTTGCTGTGTGCAAATTGGCTGCCATGCTTGCGTACAAATGCACAGTCACCACAATTTACAACACCTGGTAAAGCACTATATGAAGTGGAAGGAGTATTTGTTTTACATTGCCGTAGGAGGCAACAGCAATAACAACAACAAGATTACATTTGTATGGCGCCTTTCACGTCGAGAGGACGCCCCAAGGCACTGGACAGAGTACAGCATTTCAGACCCGAGCTGGGGTTGGGGGGAGAAGGGAGGGGAGGGGAAGGGGGGTGGTCCAAGAGGAGGGTTTTGAGGCGGGACTTGAAGGAGGCCAAGGAGGGGGCGAGGTGGAGTGATTGGGGGATGGAATTCCAGAGGTTGGGGCAGAGTGGCTGAAGGCTCTCCCGCCAATGGTGGGGCGGGTGGGTCGGGGGACGTGGAGCATGCCGGAGCCGGCTGAGCGGAGAGAATGGGCGGGTTGGTAGGGGGTTAGGAGGTCGCAGAGGTAGGGTGGGGCGAGGCCATGGAGGGCTTTGTAGGTGAGGACCAGGATCTTGAACTGGAGGCAGAAAGATAGAGTTGGGTGTCATCCGCATACATGTGGAAGTTGACTCCATGTCTGCGGATGATGTCACCAAGGGGAGCACGTCGATATTAAGAAGCAGTCTGTTCCATAACCAAATCGCTTTGTGTAAAGGCTTTTTTTTCTGGATTCTCACTGAATTAGCTCTAATTTTAAAGTTGTATCTGATCAATGTACTCTGGTGGGAAGAGAAAAAACATTTTCTAAAATGGAATAATGATGCATACGTATATTTTATTTATGTATATATATCAAAGTAAAGTTAATGAATAGTACACTATTGCACCACTCGCTGCTGAATTTATTTTCACTGCATAAGTTCTGTGTCAAATTCATACTGCATCGGTGAGTTGTAGTCAGTGGCCTGGGCAGATCACTTGAGATCTTATTGCGGTTTACCATACATCTGCAATAATATAGTACGTAATTCTGAGTTAAGAGTAAGGCACAGTGTGTTGAATCTAATTTCCCTCAAAGATGAAGTCTGCTTCTCAAGTGGCTCTATAACATCAGCCAGTTAATCCTGTTAATACAGCAGCATTCAGCAGGTATTATGTACTCAGAATGTGTTTGATTGTGCACGTGTATGTGTAATTACGTTCCCTTCCAACACACACATACGTGCGATACTCTTCGTTTGTACGTTTTCATGTAAGTGTCACTGAATAATGACGCAACAGGAACTTTGGCTGTTTTTCCCCTCAGGTCAGGGATACTGACACCAAATTGTAACACTCTATTCTGCCATCCTGACAGATCAGCAAAATCACCCCAGATTTGACAGTGCAGGAACTTCCTGCTCAGTACAACACCCTGAGGTGCCTTCACTCCCTGAAACGCTGGACGAGCCCACAATATTAAAATTTTGCACTTCATTGTTTCCAGACAGAAGAAGGTTCACCTCCAGACACTACGTGAACGATCTGAAGTACAGAAAATGACCCCGCGAGAGCGAATGAGACTCCGAAAATTACAGAGTGCAGATGAGAAAGCCAAGAAACTGAAGTATGTGTGAGACTCTTCTTTTTGGAGCAGTGTATCATTTGCCTGCCTCTCCCTGACACATCGTTCTCCTCAGTGGTGCCAGTCACCACTAAAATTCTATTCCAGCCAGCGGGGCACCAACGTGACTGATTAAGAAGGCGACAGAGAGTGATCGATTCTGTCCCACTGCTCTTTTGTACAGTAAGGTTGACTTACGTTTTATACCTGGCCAAATAAAGTTCTTCCCACAAATTGTTTTCAAAGGAGATGCAAGTAGAAGGGGGGTGGGGGAGGATAATCCATCATTTGCAACCACTCATCCATCCAACTACAATATGTTTAGTGATGGTGGTGGAAAGGAAGAGTTCCAAGTGGATGTAATTGTCTGTTACGATAGCTCAACAACACACTGTGTACATGGTGAGTTTCTTCTCCTTGCCCACTATGATCACAAAAGGAATAGACAATATACTGTAGTACAGAAACAGAACGGTGGTTCACCTTGTAGGAACAGTGTACTTTGGTGGGAATAGGAAAAGGTGTAGCATTTGTTTAGATTGATTTTGATTGGACCTCCCCGACATTGTCCCATCGATTCCTCCCATCTGTCCTTCTCTCATCATATCCTTCATTCTGCAGGAATGTATCAAACTGTGTCTATTTGTTCTATTTGCTTTAATGAACTTATATTATATCCCTCAATACATTTGTGTCCCATGCCTATCTTCAATTCACTATTATAGGGCAACTTGGTTGTAATGGCTCCCATTGAGTGTGGATTTGCTTAGAGTGTTGTATACTGCTGACCCTTAGTTGGAAGGTGGTACATCTGGCTTCTTACACTGAGAGCAGGCTTCTTCTGCTTAAAACAATAATAATATAATAATAATCCTTACATTTGATATAGTGCTTTTCACGTCTTCTAGACGTCTCAGAGCGCTTCACAGAATAGACTGTAAAGTAAATTGACTGTATATTTGTGGGCAAAATGTGGCAGCCAATTGCACACAGAAGTGTCCCACAAACAGTCGTGGATTGAAGTGACCAATTTATTATTTTTTTTGAGGGATTATTATCAGGCGTGTGGAGTAAGGAAACTTGCCCAAGGTTTTGCTCTGCCAGCTTCTAGGTTGTCAGGTCATTGTTGATGACACATCCTGTGCATTGCGCGCTATTATCGCTTCCTATTTGTGACACAGGCAGTACCGTTATTATCACTTCCGGTGTGTTGCTCATGCACACAATGTGCAGGAAGTATCACTGATACTTGCGAAGAGAGTGATGTCAGTGTTGTTTCTTGTGTATGTGTGCAAGTCATATCAGCAACGACCTGACAACCTAATGGCATTGTTTTTATACCAGTGAATGCCTGAGGCACGTTGCTAACTAAAACAATGGCAATATAAAGGCTGACCATCATCTGAGTTGAATATGAGGAAGATTTGGAGGAATATGTGGAAATGGCCATAAAACGAAGGCTGAGTCAAGGATAATGTAAATAGATGCAATCAAGAGAGATCTTTCTTGAACATAAGGAGAGGAGAGACTCGATAGAATTTATATTTATTCAGCACCTTTCACATTAGTATGACATCCCAAAGCACTTCATGCAGGAAGTGCAATCAAAAAAATAGATCTTAAGGAGGGTTTTGAAGGCTAAGAGGGAGTGGGTGAGATGGAGGGACTCTGGGATGGAGTTCCAGAGAACAGGGCAGAATGGCTGAAAGCTTGCCCACCAATGATCAGATGGAGCGGGGGGAAGGAGGGGGATTGTGAAGTAGGCTGGTGTTTACTGAATGGAGGGAACAGGATTTAAGGTTGTAGTGTAGATACGGGTGTAGAAAGAAGCAATCAAGCAATCCACAGATTCCGGTGCTACTGGAATCATGAAAATGTCATGGGAGGAAACTGAATGAATCAGTTTGAATAGTGGGACTGTAACTAAATATTATTTGATTAATATATTTTGCGAGTTGAGGAGAGAATTTCTAAAACCTTCTCTTGGGCAATGAAATAAGTGGAGTAGAAAAGCCTTTTCGTATTCCAAACTTTCTTGTGGTCTTACTCATTTGTTTTTAAAACCTCCAAATCACGCTGCTATCAGGAATTCTTTATTAGTTTTTATATCAGCTTTCTAGCATTTGCAGCTTTTCTTTTTATCTTTCTTTGTAGCCTTTCTGTGTTTACTAGATTAAATTAATTATTCAGAGGCACTGGTATTGTAGCACTACTCGCCGGTTGCATTGTCTGATGTGGAGAACTGACTTGGTCCATCTCATGCTAACAGGCAACTGGCAGAAGAGAAATATCAGGAAAATCATCAGCGTATGCAAAGGCTAAGGTATCAGCATTTTGAGCAAGTCAGCGTGGATGTCCTGCATGTAAGTTTTACCAAACTCTGACATATCACTCGCTTCGCAAGTGAGACACCTGGGTTCTATTCCCCGGCAGGGTGAAATGTTGGCAAGTTTCCTTACTCCACAAGACTCTGTTCACCTAGCAGTAAGTAGCAACCCGATCATTAGTTGATTGGCGGATTGCTTTTCCGGAGGTAATAATTCCTTCAAAATAAATAAAAAATTATTTGGTCACTCAATCCACGATTGTTTGTGGGACACTGCTGTGCATATTTGGCTGCTGCGTTTCGCTCACAAAATATACAGTCAATTCACTTGACGGTATATTCTTTGAAGCGCTTTGAGACATCTCGAAGACTTGATAAGGCACTATATCAAAATGCAAGGATTATTGTTGTGCATTTGTAAATTGTAAATGTAAAATAAAGGTTTACAAATATAAAATGCAATGAGGGAATCCACTGATAACTAATGAGGTGTTAGCACAATTCCTTACCAGCTTTTAAACATGCAATATTGGCAGTGATATGTTCAGTAATACAATGTCCTCATTAAACTCAGAATTGCATATGTACAAATTTTAGAAGTTCAAAATAAAGCCCAGAAGGTATCCTGAAAACAGAAGAAGTTGTGTACTGGCATTCTAAGTAAAATAATCTGCTTATATTGCATCTCCATTGCCTGCACTTCTTAATTTTTTAAAAAAGTTCAGCAACATTTACATTTGTAGCTTTTACATTTATAGAGCGTCTTTCACATTTGGAGACCTCTATTCCATTTATATAATCTCCAAGTATAACGTTCTGTGTACATAAGAAACAAAGAGCTTGTGCCGTCTCCAACATCAATACCTCATAGTACTTCACACCTAATTACTGTCAAATGCAATGACTGTTTTACATCCATTTTGTACACAAAATAGTTTGGCCAGGACACTGAGAGAAACTCCCTTTTTGAACAATGTAATGGGATCTTTAGCTTACAACTGAACATGCAGACGAGATCTCGATTTCACTTCTCATCCTGATTGAATAACAGCACTTGTGGCAATGTAATTTTGCCTAAAATACACAGTCACTACACTTTGCACTAGGTGCCAGTGAAGCGCTTTGAGATGTTTTGATGACATGATAAGACATTATATCAATAATGCAAACATTATTGTTATTATTATGTAGCGCTCCCCCTCCACCCACCCCCAGTTCTGTACCACCCTGTAGCTCCGTGGTCAGACCACCCACCTTGTAACCTTGAACCTGTGTTCGATTCCCAGCAGGACAAAATGTTGGGCAAATTTCCTTACTCAACACAACTGTTTACTTAGCCGTAAGTAGGAACCCTGTTGTTGGCGGATCGCTTTTCCAGGAGTAATAATTCCTTCAAAAAAATAAAATAAGTAATAAATTGGTCACTCAATCCACGACTGCTTGTGGGTCACTGCTGTGCATAATTGGCTGCCGTGTTTCACCATAGAATATACAGTCAGTTCACTTTACGGTATATTCTATGAAGCGCTTTCAGACGTCTCGCAGATATGATAAGGCGCTATAATAAAATGCAGGTATTATTATTACTGTACCAGAGTATTATGTTAGATCATGCACTTCTTAGATCAGAAGAGAGGTGAAACAATCCCTAGTTTTCAAAGACACTCGAGCAGAATCTCACATTTGCACTGTTGAAACTCTAGCCCCCTTCCTCCACAGCAATGTTTTCTCCCTCTCCCTTTCCTGGCCCAAGAGTACAGAAACCATTCTTGTGTATTGTTTGATTACCTCAACCTGCACCATTTCCTATAACTTTCCATCTTATCCCCAACAGAAGCCTGCAATTCCATGTAGCCTTAGCCAGTAAGACAACTTTCTCTTAAAATTTTTGATTGCACAGAAATGTGGGCAATTCTTCAATTCAGTCTTAATATAGAAGCCAAATTTCCACAGGTCTTAAATAGAATTGGTTCCAGAATTAAGATTGATTTTAAGAAATTTTCACAATTTGGTGTGTTGTTAAATTTTAATATAAAATGATCTTAAGGCTAAAACTAGGTGAAATTTGAGGCCTCACATTTTTATTCAATGCATTTCTGAAGGAGTTAATCAACACAACACCAACTGCTTGTGTTGCATCTGTTTCACCTAATTATTACTCTGTGGAAGGAAAACAAATTGTTCTAATCTCTAGACTTGCTTGAATGTTAATTTTAAACCTGTGTTTTCTAGTTCTATCCCCACAGTCTACATCAAATAACTTGCTTACATTTATATATCTGTGCTCCTCTTTTAATAACATTTAGTCATTCTGTTAATCTTGTTTCCATTCAAAAACTAGTTTTTCACTGATGATTTGCGAGTAAGATATAGCACTGTGTCCTGGAATCATCCTTCTTGTTCTTCTCTCAACTCTCAACACATCAATATCCTTTTGAAGCCAGGCTACGCAAAAATGCATACAATATTCCAAATGCAGCCCATAAAATGATCTATACAAGATTAGAATAATTTCTTTCAGCTTATAATCAAATTCCCTCAAGATGCCTCGTATTTGATTGGCTTTGCTGATAGTGATTTCATGTTGCCTCGAAGCTTTCAGTGAATGATTAATATAATTGCATCCAAATGTGTTTCGTTCTCCACCTTTGCTAATGGACATCCTTTCATTATGTTCCTGTTTGCTGCTTCCTCTTCTAATATGCATTACCTTACATATATCTACATTTAAAAGCATCTGTCACTCCTCAACCATCTGCTTTATTGGTACCTATGTATATGAATGTTGTTCATCTCCCTTACATTTGTCATTTGAGTGTGTAGCTTAGTATCAGCTAATTTCATAATCTAACAGGAAATAGTCTCTGCCAAGTTATTTAAGAATAGTGTGAACTGGAAGAGTTCCAGAACAGCCTTGGAGAATTCGGCTGCTCACTCTCCATCCAGACAGTTTTTTTNAAACCATTTTATCATCACCTTCTGTTTCCTATTAGCAAGTCAGGCTTCAATCCAGTTACTGTAGCTAGCTAAATCAGTGTAGAAAAGGCATTGGGTTTTACTCATCTGCCTTTTAGATCATGGAGTTTGCTTTAAAAACTTTGATGCTCTCTGATAGCCTATCATACTTAGAACTCATCCAGCTAGATACCACTTATACATCTGACCATACTTGATAGTATGCTGTCCTACAATATTATTATGTTTCGCCTATAAAATATACATTCAATTCACTTTACAGTATATTCTGTGAAACGCTTTGAGATATCTCAACAACATGATAAGGCGCTATATCAAATGCAAGATTTATTATTGTTATTATTATATTTGCATTGTTGTTCCTCCGCAGTGAGTAGTTTGCAGAAGTTTTCATCAGTCGCTTAAAAAGATGGGATAGAAGGCTCGGATTTGCTTGGTCTTCAGGAGGAATAATAGTCTTGCATCTGATATTGCACCTATAATGTTGAAACATCTCAATAGGGCTCCACATAGATTTTCTGTAAAGTGACTGTTTAATTATAGGCAAACGGCAACCAGTTTGCACACAGCAATATTCAACAAACAAGCATGAATGAATGACCATTTTTTTAATCTCTGGTAATTGTTGGCCAGGAAACTTCCTTCACTTTTTGAATAGTGCAACAGTAGCAGCATAATATCATATGAACAGGCAAACCAGACCTCAGTGTAACATCTCATCTGAATGTTGGACCTTGGATAATGTAGCTCTCCACCAGCCCTGAAATGGTGTCAGCCCAGACTTGAGACTTGAACCCACAACCTTCTGACTCAGAGCAAGAGTGCAACCTCTCGCTCTGAGTCTTACGCCTATTGTTTTTGTGCACAAATTTAAATCATTCAAGGGAATGCTTTGCATTATTGCCATTTCACTCAAGCATTTTGAAATACTGCAATGTCTGAAGGGTGCTATATCAATGCAAGTTGTTGTATTTGAATCTGAGCAATAGGATGAAGTTATTTTAAAGGCACTAAGTGTAATGAGACGTAATAAGTACAACAGTAACAACAAAATTACATTTGTATAGTGCCTTTCACATCGGGAGGACGTCACAAGGTGCTGGATAGTCAGAGTTTCAGACAATGCTATCAATGTCAAGCTATGGATACTACTCTAGCAGTACCCAAAAGCACGGTCGAAGAGGAAGGTCTTGAAATGGGTCTTGAAGGTGGCAAGGGAGGGGGCGAGGCGGAGGAACTGCAGGATGGAGTTGCAGAGGGTGGGGGCAGAGCGGCGGAAGGCTCGCCAATAGTGGGGAGAGCGAGGCTGAGATGTGAAGCAGGCCGGTAACCACTGCATATTCAAAATATATCTGAAATTAACTCTGGTGATATCAGTCCACTTGGCACATAATATATATTCAAAATGACAACACTGAGATAGTCTTTGTTGCTGTAGGTCATATCTTAAAATATGTGAACACATTCAACATGTTATTGTCTTGATTTTTTTTAAAAAGAGAGTGGTTTAATCTGTGATGTGTTCTGTAAATAACCGGTGTGTGTTGTGCCTACTTTAAACCAGGAATGTAAAGAGCAGCCAACTCCGTCACATATGAATCAGTCACAGCCAGTCAGTCTACAGGATTACCAGTCACTACTTCAACCAGAGCCCAAGGCAAAGGTGAATCAAGATAGACTGTGTATGTCTGAGCCAGCAGAGCATGGTAAGACATGTCGCTGTATCACAGCTGGAAGTTTTTGATATTTTTATGGATGATAAACGTCTGCATTATTATATTCTGCATTGTTGAAAATCCTAAGTGTTTCTTATAAATTGTGTACAAAATATGAGGAGCACATGAATTTTTACAGTATAGTATTGTCAAGTGTAGTGTGTTTATTGAAGAGAAACACAGTAGCCATTTTCAAATTGTGTTAAATTTTTTTTAAAAGTCCCCTGAACAGCTGGTGAGACCAAGTTTGTTTTAATGTCTGAGCTGGAAGTTGATCTGTATCACTTCCCCCAATACTGCCCTGGAGTATCAGCCTGACTATGAGCTCAAGTCTTTATGTGGAGCTTGAACTCACAATCTTGTGATGCAAGAGTGGTATCACCTAACCAAGCTGAGAAGATGGTGTACTGGGTAGGGATACCAATGAGCATTAATCTATCTGAATTGCCATTGCCAAACACTGTTCCCACACAGCAATATGGGAAATGAAACAAAAATGAGTTCCTGTAGAGCCATGGGATAGCAGAATGTAGATTTGACTGCACTGAATTTCTCTGTGTGCAAGTGAGTAGAGATCAGGCACATGTCTACAAATTAGGTGGAGACGAGTAACAACTGACCAGCTCCTTATAATCTAGCGGCTGGTGTGAGAGAAGCACAGGTAGGAATGGTTGCCATTCGTCCATCTATTATTTGGGCTGCAAGAGCTGCAGTGTCTGGTGAGTCCAGAAAGAATGATAATCGGAGGGATGAGGGAGAAGAAAGAACTAATGAAGCATATTTTAGGAACACAGGAAAACAGGAACAGGAGGAACGCCATTCAGCCCATCCAGAGTATTCCACCTATCAGATCTTGACAGATCTTTTTATCCTAATTCTTCGCTCTTTCACCCACCCTTTGGGATCTCTACTACCCAAGTATCTTGGTCGCTCCTTCCCCATGTGCGACATTGCTGTGCACAATTCGCTGCAGCGTTTCGCCCAAAAATATACAGTCAATTCACATTACAGTATATTTTGTGAAGTGCTTTGAGATGTCTAGAAGACGTGAAAAGCACTATATCAAATACAAGGATTATTATTTATTATTATTTAACTTTCTCTTTTAAGCTATTAATTCCTATTAATTCCACCTCTACAGATTTTTAGGAAAGAACATTCCACATTTTCACAGCTCTTTCTGTGAAGAAATGTTTCCTGATCTCAGTTCTAACTGTCTTAGTTCTGATTTTAAGCCACAGCCCTGCTTGTCCCTCGTGCCCTCCGTTCCACCAACGATGGCTGCGCTTTCAGCCACTACACCCCCAAACTCTTGAACATTTTTCCTCTATCCCTCCACCTTGCCCCCTCCTTCCCCATCTTCAGGTTACGACAAGCCTACCACTGTACATTGCTCCGAGATGCTAACCCGCAAGGGTACAATATAAATACTTGTTGTTGAGTTCATTTCAGGTTCAAATTTCTCTTCAACGGTGCCTACCGTCATCTCCTCCTGGCTCGGCGCTGTGCTCCGCCACCATCAAACGCTCTGGGATGATACCCTGCGTGAGGAGCAGTATAAAAACGCAAGTTATTGTTATTGGAATAGATCCTCCTACCAAAGGGAAGAGTCATTCACTGTGTACCGTGTCAATTCCTTTCATTTATTTTAAATATCTCAATCAACTCACCCCATAACCTCCTCTGCTCTAAGGAACGTAATCCAGTCTACCCATCCTTTCATTGTAACTCAGCTGCTTCTTGTAAAAAAAAGGCTAGGATCCCATTTGCCTTACTGACTGCAAACTGGATTTTAATGATTTGCGCACGTGAACTCCTAGAACCATCAGCTCATCTATCCCTCCTGTTACTTCCCCAATTAGAACATATTCCCAACAACTGTACATCTGGAGTATTGGCATATGTTGGACTATGTGTGAGTGTACGTGTACACTCAAAAAAACTACTTTGAACTTCTCACAATACTTCTGTGAGACTCAGCTTTGTTTTAACTCATATACTTGTGCAGTCAACACTAAAAAGGAATAACCTAAAATTCAAATAGAAATTAAAATGTGTAGCCATCTTCTATTCACACCCACTGAACTGTTGCCCACTCCTCTGCCCGCTTTCTTCTCTCAGCTGGCAGAGGCCTGCTGTGAGTCTCCTAACTTCTCTGTGCCACCATCGATGACTGTGCTTTCAGCCACTTCGCCCTTACCTCTGGAATTCTTTGCCTCAATCCCTCTTTATCTATCTTTGAATCTCACTTTAATACTTACCACTTCGACGGCATCTCTAGTCACCTCCCTTCTCACTTGCTTGGCGTCCAAGCCTACCACTGTACACTGCTCCGTGATGCTATCCTGCAAGGGTAAAATATAATTGCTTGTTGTTGAGTTCATTCCGACTTCAAATTTCTGTTAATTCAATATGACGAATTGTGAATCCTGCCGGGTACAGTTTTCCCTGAAACACAGTGACATTACTACAAAAGAGGGTGGTCTCTCCACTTTTGATGGTACATAATTCAAATTTAACAGTGAGAACAGTTTCATCATTTCACATGCCATGAGCTGTCTTCTATTTCAGCAGTCTTTGTAAACATCAAAGTTGCTTGAATTGTCAAAATGTGCTCCTCCTCCTCCTCTTCCATCAACAATAAAATGCATTGAAGTGTAGAGGGGTTGATTTCATAAACTCCTTAAGGATTCTGAATTCCCCTCTGTATCTTTGCTCTGATCTGCATGTCCATGCAGACATTCTGTCTTGCTTAGAATGCCAGAAGAGACCAATTACCTGCATTTCTTTGACTTGGGCAGACCACTTTTGGGCAACCCACTTCATCTAGACCATTCACATCAATGCAGCAAGCAGTTAGTTGTCATTCATTTCACTGAGAGAGCTTGATATTCCTTTTCTTTTACCTGGATGTATTGTCGGATTGCACCGAGCTGCCTTTGTCAGGAGTTGTACTCGAGGTATTGTGTTCTTGTTTGGCTGATCAGTATTTGCCATTTAATGTAGAGGTGATCCTGAGGTAGATTGTCTTTTGTCTTTTATTGTAAGCACAGCAGTGTTATTGGGATGATCAAATTTGTTTGGTTTATTGAAATATCAATGTTAATATTGTGCTTAACGCTCTCACTGAAAAAAATCACTTGACTTTAAGTGGACCTCTCGGCTGCCAAATAAATGTCCAAATCTCAAATTGCCCATATCCCCAAGGTGTTGCATTTTCTTCCCAGTTCTGTGCTACATGCCAGCTTCTGGACCCTGGTGTCCAGCTTGAATAAAGCAATTCCCTGAAAGTGTGTCAGCCTGGCTCAGTTGGTATCACTCTCGCCTCTGAGTTATAAGGCTGGGGATTGAAGCTCCATATCGGGACCTGGACTCATTTAGTTTAAGCTAACACTCCAATACTGGGTGTGTTCCATTGCGCGAGATGCTGTTCTTTGGATGAGACCGAGGTTAACCCAAGTTCCAGGATGCCTGCTTGTGTGGACGTAAAAGATCCCATTAAAGACATTAAAGATAGCACAAAGAGAAAAGCGTGTCCTGGCCAAAAATGACCCTAATAAAAGTCATCATTCATTTCATGGCAGTTTGTGAGACATTGCTGCGCGCATTTGGGCTGCCACATTTGCCTACAAATACTCAGTCACTGCACTTCACAGTAAATCCTGGGAAGTGCTTTGGGACATCCTTCAAATATTTAGTTTGAAAAGTCATTTGATAGTACATATTTCCAATGTAAAAAAAAAGGATGTATTTTATTAATTCATATCCACCATAAAGCTAGCAAATGCAAGGATTATTATTATTAAAGTACTTTCCAGTTAACCTTTTGTTGGCTTCTCTGCCTCCACTCTACAGAAGCTCCAACTCATCTAAAGCTCCACTGGCTGTGGTTCTCTCACATACCCTTGTCTCTCACATAGTGACTACACTGACAACATTGCTGTTACATAAATGGAACTACAACAATGCATAAAGTTAATGTTCTTTATTGGCTTTTAATAGTCTTTGCTGCTCTGGAATTTGTGGACTATTCCTAGCAATGGTTATTCCGGTGATGGTTATTAATTTCTTGGGTTTCTTTGTTACTGTTGATGGCTTTATCTGAATCGCTCATGTAGATTATTAGTGTACAATCACCGTCCTTATTCTCTGTCTGTACAGATACTGACAACAATAGAATCTGCAAAACTTTGCATATATTTTATGTTCTGCGGTTTCACACGTTTTGCTAATGAGCTGCTATTTCTGTCTTGCACATATATACCCAGGCAGAATGTTATTATCATACAGACAAGTTGTTACAAGATAGTTTTTGCTGCCGGTATGTGTAGCACTCAGAATCAGAGGCACATAGAATGTCATGTTTTAATTAGTTTAGTCGCCTTGCATTCGCACACTACAGGCATTATTGAAGAAATATAAAATAGGCAGTGGAGTCCTGTAGTGTAGTGGTTAGTGCACTCACCTCGCAAGTGATAGGACCCAGGAAGTTCGATTCCCAGACCAAGCAAAACCTTTGGCAAGTTTCCTTATTTCACATATCTCTGTTTATCCAGCAGTAAGTAGGAACCTGGTTGTTAGTCAATTGGCAGATCACTTTCTGTGGGTAATAATCCCTCAAAAGAATCACTCAATCCACAAATCTTTATGGATTGATTGATTCGCGACATGTTTACGTTGCATTTCCCCACAAAATATACAATCAATTTACTTTAGAGTATATTCTGTGAAGAGCTTTGAGACGTCTCGACAATGTGATAAGGCCCTATACCAAATGCAATAATCATAATAGAAGTCGCTGGGAACACTCAGCAGGTCAGTCAGGATCTATGGAGAAAGGAAAGTGAGTCAACGTTTCGGGTCCACGACCCTACGTCAGAACGTTCTGACAAAGGGTTGTAGACCCAAAATGTTGACTCACTTTCCTTTCTCCATAGATGCTGCCTGACCTGCTGAGTGTTCCAGCAACTTCTGTTTTTGTTTCCGATTTC